GATCGATTAGATGGTTTTTTCAACATTAAAGCAACATTTCTGATGGATTTTTTAGGTGCATATGTGATTCTACATTTTAAGGTTGCAACCTTATATAAACTTTTCCTTATATATATATATATATATATATATATGATAATTTTTATATAAAGCTAAGGCTCTAAACAATCAAATTAGAGCCCACCTAAAAAATTTAACTAGAAGAAGTTATTTTGATGTCCAAATATGCTCAAATTAATCATCTCGACATCAAGATAATGCATCTTGTAACGCATTTTTTTACCGTCAATTTTCAAGATTATAAAGTTTTCATAGATCTACTTGAACTACACTATTTTTGCAGCTTTAAATTTTATAATTAAATATGAAAATATATTTTAAGACTGTCACCCAGATTTCCAGCATTGAAACATTTTTTATTGACACTTTTTGAAGGTGGGCTCTAATTTGATTGCTTAGAGCCTCATCTCTCTCTCTATATATATATATATAAGACCTATGTGATTTTTTACCGGATAATACTATTTTTTTTTCTTTACCCATTTCTTTTGGCAAAAGACCACTTACATGTGGTCTTTATTATAATAAGATAAATTTCAAAATAAAATAAACATAACAATAAAACCAAGATCTTAACAACTTTATGCCATTGAAACAACTATACACTATGCTTGAAAATGAAATATAAGATTGCAAGAAACAAAAGGAATAGTGCCGGAGATTACCTCAACCGGGCTTATTACACCCCACACCGAGTCAACACCATCCGATGGCGCGGGATCAATGATCTAACTTCAATCTCGAATTAGAAAAGTCTGATGGATGAACCAAGAGGTCACAATCCCAGTTTGTGGATTGTAGGTCCTCCCTTAGAGACAAGTCAATGTCACCAAGACTTTATGCGACCATAGCTCTATGGCGCATAGGGGTATCTCTTGCACATGCATACGCTTCACCCTAAAAGGTGGATTTCTGGCTTTTTCGAACGATCTATCGATATACATGCCGTGTGATGGTACATGGATGAGGTTTTGGCCCCTGTCCCTCTACACATGAACTCATGTTCCACTATATCATTTCAGTTTACAAGTACTCGTAAGGCCATATAAACCCAACAATATATATATATATATATATATATGCAAGCTTTCTATGCTTCCCATATAGCATAAAACTTATATACTTCCCTTTATCCAACCCTCCATTCTGAATGGAGGGCTAAGATTGCCCCAATCGCAATGTCATGTCTCTGCACTATTTTATTTTTAATTTTTTTCTATAAACTATTTTTGATATCAAATTTTGGACGTCCAATCCTATATTAAACGCGTACTAGCAAAAAAAAAAAAAAAATTCGATAAAGTAAAATGATCAAAATACCCTTGAAATATTTAAGGAGTATTTTGTTCATTATAGTTTTTCGAAAATTTATTTTGAATATTTTTTATAGGTGAACCCCAATGAGAAGCTGACATGTACCAAATTTCGTATCCATACAATTTGTATAAAAAAAACTAAAAATAAAATACTTTGAGACGTCGGATCTAAGATCAAACGGTGAGTGACTCTTTTGATCAAAATTGAATTAGTGAATGGTAGGGAGAGCATAGATCTTCTATACTGTAAAGAAAGTATAGAAACCTTTCCCTATTTTTTTTACCTCAAAACTTTATAGACTTAGGTGAAAATAGATTTGCACGTAAACTTTATAGACATAGGTGAAAATAGATTTGCACGTAAACTTTATAGACTTAGGTGAAAATAGATTTGCACGTATTTGGAAAGTGTTTGTGAGTCCTAAATCAAATGAAAACCATAACAAAAATCATACATTCCAGAGGGAATACAAGGAACCAAGTTACTCTCCCAAACCAGTAGAAAATTTTGAATAAGAGACCCTTGTTACCATTAGTAGTAATGGAAAATTGGCTCTCCTTTCCTTCAGAGTGATCATATATTCAGTTGTTTGAAGCCATGCCATACTCTATCAAATCTACTCCATTATTTTGGGCGATCCTGCATTACGAAATCAACACATTTTTTAATAAAACAACAATAAATATGATGTGCAGGGTTTCAGCCTAGTGATATCATTAAGACGTTCGAAGCCTTTATATATGTTTTAAACATACTAAGTCATAGCTGAAGGTGGCCAAGTGACATTGAATGATAATAAGATCTTACAAAGAGAGACTTTAAGGTAGAATATATATTGAAGTTTATGGGATACTTAATTTGGCCCGAGTGCTGGGTCAGGTCTGAAATCCCGACAAGGTAACTTGGCTAGGTAGGGGCCTGGCTTGGGCAAGGGTGACCCGGTCCAACAATTTTTTATTGTTGTGTATTAAAATAAAAATAATAATTTGCACTAAGCCCAACCCTGCCCATTAACAGGGCCGGCAGTTCGCTTAGCCAAGAGCCCAGGCCAAGCTTGGGTTAGGGCCTCTTTGAACATAGGCACAGGCTAGCCCTGCCCGCTGTCACCCTATCGCATAGTAAAATTTTAGGGTAATTTATGATCTAATAAAATTAAATTTGTATCTATTTTAGAAATAAATGCCTTTGCTGAGTAATTTATCTGGTGATACATAATAACAATATAATTAAATACTTTTTTTAGAGATTCATGATCAAAGGCATGGTTCTTGAAAAAATAAAATAAATTTTTTTAATTTAAAAAACAGTTCTTAATATTTTATTTGCACCATTTGTTTGGATATCCACTTTTTTCAACATCCATCTTTAAGATAGATGTTGGATGAGTCAAACGACACATGCATCGCCTCACTCAAGCACAACTTTTGCTATCCAAAATCTAATCTTTAATCTCCGAATATTAAAAATTTATTGTTTGAAAAATACCTTTTTACCCTCTTAATTTCCATTTTTTTTCTAGCTTATTTGTATTACAAGTTTATAATAATTAAAAGAAAAAGTCTATATAACGCATCAACCTCATACTATAGAAAAGTCTATATACCGCATCAACCTTATACTATAGAAGTAAAATGCACCTCAAAAACCACTAGTAAGACGCACCTCAAAAACCACTAAAAAAAGATTGTCCCCGTACCAAAAAAAATCTTTCAATTAATTGTTCTTGACCTTGATCAGTATGAAAATGAAAAAACAAGAATTTCAAGTCTTAAAAATAATACATCTTGTAATATATTATCTAGACCCTCTACTTTAAAAATTTTAAAATATTTATAGATTTATTTGATTTTTACTAATTTTAAAGCTTTAAATTTCAACTTATATAAGTAAATATAGATTTTCATGCTATTTGAAGGAAATCCAGCACCAAAATTATATCTTCAAACAAGATCTGAAAGTGCGCCTTATTTTGACTATTGAAGAACATAACCTCATAGTTTTAAAAAGACGAAAACGCCCAAGCCAATAACGTACAGTAGGCACCTCGATCAAGGGTATTATAGTAACTTTTATCGAATAGAGCTTCAAAAGCTCCTCACTGCTCTGCAACTAATACCTAGATCCACAAAGCTCCAAATTCCCTGGAGGTCCTCTTTAATGGCGGACGCAAAGGACATTCTAGGGCTTCCCAAAACGCATTTCCCTTCCACTCAGGAGAAGAGACCCAAACCCCCAAAGGAGTCCCAGAGAAAACCAGATGGAGTTTCTCGCGAGGTACTTTCGAACCCTAACCCTAATTCTCTTGCTTCTAGGCTTTTCATGCTCTTTTGTGTTTTTTTTTTTTTTGGGGTGTTTCATCTTCTCTTGCTTGTACTTCTCTCTCTAGAAGTGTTTGTCTGATTTATTGGCCAAATTATCAGGTTTATGCTCTTATGGGGGGTTTGCCACCACTTATGCCTACTCTCGATATCTCGCAATTGAAACGAAAGCCCCCGTCAGACAAAGAAAAGGCAAGCAATTTTCAACACAGGAAACTCCTTATCTACGCTCTCTCTCTCTCTCTCTGTATAGTAATTCAGCCATTCTGCATCTAATAGTTAGTCTTCGATCTATTTCTCTCAATATATCTCCTTCTGATTGTTCTTTATATATTGGA